ATAATTGAAGACAAAATGTGTTTTACTGAGAAAAAACAAGATTTGGTTTTTAAAAAGTCTTTTTCCAAAAGGTACATCTGGAAAAAGGGGGGTCGTCTTATAATCACGGTCGTCTTATATTCGGGCCAAAACGGTATTAACATGCCACCCTTCCTGTCTCCTCCAGGACCTCAAGTTGTCAACAGAAACATGTCGACTCTACAGTCTCTACCATTCGCTGCATCATTATAAATATCACACCTTCTTACACTGTAAGAAAGAGGTAAGCATTGAACTGCATTTCCCATAGGCAGCTGCAGCAAACAAACGCCATGCGAACCTTCAATGAGATTCTCCGTCTTTTCTTTCAGACGAACACTATAGAGCAGGCTTCAGAAGATCCCGGACAAGAGGAAGTTGTTCAGCAGTGCATGGCCAATCAGAGCTGGCTGGAGACCCTCTTCAACACCTTCTTAGAGCTGATGACCCTCAGCACCAAAGCTTAAGACAGAGAGGAAACATGAAAACGGAGAAACGTTGAGAAATGTACAAAGAAGCTGGGTTTATTGTTGCCTAGCTCTCCTGTCCTCCTCCTCCTCGGTTTTACAGAAATCTTTCTTTTAAACGGCGACAGGAGAGGACCGGGCCGCCAGACAGTAACTTTATTAACTCTTTACAAACGCCTGCAAAAATGCAGGATCCCTCCTGAACGTTCAGGCAAATGGATGTGACCAAACTGAGATCCGATTTTAACGAATTTTCACTGAATCCGAAGGAAATGGTACACAGAGCTACGGTTGACGGAATATACTGTGTGGAGTCTTTATACTTTGGAATCGTGGGAATTACTGACAGGAGGAATTCGCTTCGCGACGACACTAGGAGGAAGTCTTACTGAATTTTACACGAATAATTTTTTTAAGACAATATCAGTTTTATTCCAGCTTTTTTTCTGAAACGAGAGCGAGAGAGAGAGAGAGAGATGGACGGTTCTGTTTTATAAACGAGCGCAGATGGGAAAGCAGTCGCGGGAAGATGATGCGTGCAACGACATGTGATGACATTCAACGCTTTAGTCAACACACGTGAAACAAGTGAGCTAAAGTAATACATTTTTATTATTTATAAAGACATTTTTAACAGGAGTTCGCACATACAGTACAAACCAGTGATGCTTCATATAAAACGGTTCAAATAATCTTCCTTCAGATGTTCTAAATGGATCTTATTGCCACATTCTGAGCCGTCTTCCTTTTTGCTCATCCAAGGTGGGTAGATAGATACCATGGAAAATGTATTATCGTTTTTATCTGTTACAGAAGAGAAAAAGACAAGAGTAGAACAAATTATTCAAGCTACGCAAAACGGTATTATTGCAGTGCATTCTACAGAGAAAATAAATGGAATCGAAAGCGAGAGCGAAGCATCTGGTTCCCATTAGGGAGGGATTATGTATTAGTACTATTTAAAATGGAAATTTGTTTTTGTTTGTTTGTCTTTTGTCTGTATTCTGAGTATTCTTTTGGAACAATCTAATACTGTGCTTCTTTCAAAAGTAAAGCCTTTGTGTAAATATTGTACAGCTCTTGACAGAAATCTCCCGGTTCTTCTGTACATGGACTATCCCTGTATTTGACAAACAAATAAAACCATCAACAACTACATTGTGTCGAATGAGACGCTGCTTTTCTCCGCAGGTTTACGGTGAGAAGTCTCCGTTCGCTGGAAAATAACTGTTGTGACGGGTGTAATGATCACAGTTAAGTCAGATCTTTTGAAACCGTTTTTGGCTTCAACAGAACTTTCTTCCCTAAATGACTAAATGCAAAGGTTTGTACTTTTTCTTGAACTTTGGCCATGACTTCATTACAGTTCCTCTTTTTCCTGTTATTGTTTATTATTTCTGTTCTACACCACATGTTCTCTATATCTTCTCTTTAGCAATTCCTTACCTTTGCAGCAGGGTATTTCCAGCCAGGAACTTAAAAAGGACAAAATGTCTCGCTTTTTCTGATAATAGTCAGAAATGGTTTGGAATATTTTCCAAAAGTATAACAAGAAAGTACAACTCTGACCTACAATTTAAATAAATTAGCAAATATGCAAAGTCAAAAAGTACATTGCAACTGAATTATATTGTATTATACAGTATTTTTTCTGACCCTAATGAACTTTACATTCTTAGTTTCGTTGACAATTATAACTTAGAACTTAAGTTTTTTAACAGATGGAGAAGGACGGCAGTTTTGATTGTTTTAATGATTATAATGTTGATGATTATAATGTGGAAACTATTCATAATAGGAAATACAAATAGGCGTGTCCAGGTTTTGTGCATTATTAAGCACTTCAGTATAAATATATGCAAACCTATTATGTTATTCAATGCTCGTATCAAAAAGATTGTGTTTTGAATGGTCGTCTCCGCCATCTAGTGCTCATCTGAGGTAAGAAACTCCTGCAGCGATGTGTGCAATGGCGTCAAAATAGGAAATCGAAACTGACACGGATTTCCCGAGTAATGTTTAACACCTGATCGTCAGACACAAACTGCTGAAGAAAGTTCAGTATTAAAGCAGCACTGACGAGAAAAACACGTCTCATCGTCCACACATCTGAAGAGTTCGCTGAAGAACACGACAGGCCACAGAACGCACGGTCGCTGTTGCTTTATACCATTAAAGAACGGTAAGTGTATTTTTCTTATTATACTTAAGGTTTTTTATATGAATGCATTCGATTTATACAGAATGTCTTCCTAAGATAGCTCATTTTTAAAATGAAAATGTTAACTGATATGTAAGTGTTTATAATTGTATAGTTAACAATATTAAGTTTCAAAGAAGAATGGTGGAGGATTTCGATATAAGCCATGAGGAGACTGGTTTTCCTTTGCTAAAGTAAGGAAACTTTGCTTCCTTTGCTCCTGTTAACAAACGTTGGTTTTCACGAGACTCACCGGCGCATGCGCAACGCTGACCTCATACGTCATCAGCCCAGAGCTGCTTCCGTGTACAACAGTGAGCACAAGCTAGATTAAAGTGATTATTACATTTTGAATATGGATATTTTTCTTACAAAAATGCATCGATTCGCTACAGGAGGCCTTTGTTCACTTCCCGGAGCCGTGTGAGACACTTTTTATTATGGATGAATGCGCTTCATTTCACTTCTTTTGGACTGATGAACTGTAACACCCGCTGAGTGCCATTAAACAGCTTGGAAGAACAAAGACAATTTTTAATATAACTCCGACTGGATTCGTCTGAAAGAAGAAAGTCATATACACCTAGGATGGCTTGAGGGTGAGTAATTTATGGACTAATTTTCATTTTTGGGTGAACTAAAACTTTATGTCCTACTTAAATGGGTCAAAACTGCAAAAATGCATTTAATGTATATTTAAACTGTAATATATGTTCATTTAATTGCAAATAATGTGCAGTTAAATGTCCTAAAACATGCACTTAAGTATACTGTTTTTATTTTTTTTTACAAGGGATTGTATTTTACACGAGTAAAAAATAAGTATTATTATATTATTTCAAGTACCCCAAGGTAATAATAATACTATGGTAATTCAGTTGGATGTTATTAGTACCTTATATTCTACCAAAGAATTACTACACTACCATTACAATCAGCATTTATACATTTATATTTATTATCATCAGGCAACACCACATATTATATTTAATGTAAGTAATGCATTGTAGAATTTTCTGAAGTATCTTGGAGTACCAAGTAAATGCCTATATCAATATAAATCATTCAGTACAAAAGTATATATCACAGAACCACGGCATTATCATCAGAGCAGACATGTTATAACCACAGGAGTCCCTTTCTTCTGATATCTGTATTTTGTCCCGTCAGGCCTGGGCTCAGACGAGTGCCGCTGGAGATGGCAGGTTAAATGGAGATCACTCTGTTTGGAAGAGAAACTTCCGTAGCGCTCTTCGTGCAAAAGGCTTCAAGATGATATTTGACAAAAAGAACGATGCCGCTAATCCACATAAAGTCTATCAGTTTCCATCTGGACCTCATTCTGCAGGTAGGAAACATTACATTTGTGGTTGCTGCCATTAAGAAGATTGATTGAACTGTTAAATCTGATATTTGTTTTCTCTCCTCTCCAGCTTTGGGATCTGAGGGCTCTCAAGAGACTGATGCGAGTATCTGTTTCATCACATTTGTCTGTTTTTTTTTCTTTAAAGCAGTCTCAAGCCTCTGGCATCAGATAAGACATACACACACTGACTTGGGAAATTTGTTTTCCATTTTTAGTTCTCACCAGATCTATATGTGGAGGATAGCGACGTGTTCTCTAGTAAGACAGCATTTTATACCCAGCCATGCATTTGTTATATACATTTGTGAGGTAGGCCTTTCATCGTGATGACAGTGTGTTTTACTTTTATATTTCTTAGCACATCCACCCCAAGGATTGGAGCAAGATTTCACAGGACTAAACCTTAAGGAAAGTCCCTCACGAGGTAGACTGAAAAGACTAGAAAAGATACTGTATTTTCATTATAGCAGGTTGTAGTACAAAGCATTATATGCTATAGATTAATTGATTTGTTTGCCTTTATTTTGGGTTTTTAGTCTCTGTATGGTTGGATAATGTTCAATGTAGTATTTTATACTATAGTATTATAGTATTTTTTTTTTACAATCATGCCAATAAAATGAAATTGAAATAGCATTTTATTTTAAAAGAGAATTGTTTTATTATATATCCATCCATCCTGGAAGGAGGCAAGTTTATTATATATATTGCTATTATAAAAGTAATATATTATATATTAAAATTAATATACCTACGCGCTATCTGTCAAATGGAATAATTATGATTTTTTTGAGATGTCTCTTATGCTCACCAAGTCTGCATTTATTTATTAATTTGATAAAAAATACAGTAAAAACGGTAATTTTGCCAAATATGATTACAATTCAAAATAACTGTTTTCTATATGAATATATTTTTTAAAATGTAATTTATTCCTGTGATCCATGCTGAATGTTCAGCATCATTACTCCAGCCTTCAGTGTTACAAGATCCTTCAGAAATCATCCTAAATTTGTGATTTATAAAACGGATAGTTCCGGTCCTTGATTCTGATTGGTTGAGCCGCGAACAGTTCGAAGCTGTTGTAAATTACTCTTCAAACATACACCTTTGTTTACTTTGTGTGTTGCTTGGCAACCACTTTGTTGCAACCATAGACTGTATAAAAACATGGACGTAGTGTCCGTGATGTCAGCCGTAGGTTTCTGAAGAGCGTTTTTGAAGCTCAAAGTGGGCGGAGCCGGCCGTCGCCATCTTGGCACTGCGTCACCGCGCCTCACTCCCGGATAATCGAAAATGGGCAAAGAGGCGGGAGCTGGCTGCTGAAACCACACCCACCTAGCTCGACGCCGGTGCAGCGGCAATCCACCTGTCACTCAAGTGGCCACGCCCTTAATTATGCAGAACTTTAAGGCTTAATATAATTTAAACGGATGAGTTATAAAAAAATTCACCCTCCTCACTGTTGTCATGAAGGGCAAAATTAGCTATATAGACCAAAATCTTTTTTGTACCAGGCTGTAAACATATTTTTTTCTGCTGTAAAGTTGGGCATTTTAACATGGGGAGTCTATGGGATTGACTCCCCTTTTGCAGCCAGCC